CATATTATTGGTTATGACTCGATGTCAAAGCCAAATGTATTGGGAATTGTTTGACAAGTAATTCTTAGTATTTTCTTATTTTGACCTTATGAATTAATAATAATAAAAATGATAATTTGATTTGCGAATCTTCAAATAACGTCTCATTCAATTTGGTGCGAACAATGAACCTGATAAAAGTTTGTTTTTGGTCAAGGCTTTTTGCACACACACACATATATATATATATATTTATAGAAGAGGGTTCAAACGACATTGGTGTAACTTTTACTAAGTGTTACACCGCTCAATAACTTTATATTAAAAGTGAATTTTGAAAATCTAACCGTTAGATTGAAAGTTCATATCTCTTAGATCATATATGTCAAATTTTGTTAAAATTGAACAACAACTTGAAGGTAATCAAAATATTCATATTTTAGTATATTTTGAAATGTATATATTACGTCAATTTTGTTTTATGATAATGAAGTATCAAATCATCTTAGATTTATATAAAGTTTGATATATATGATCTAAGAGATATAAACTTTCAATCTAACGGTTAGATTTTCAAAATTCACATTTAATATAAAGTTATTGACCAGTGTAACACTTAGTAAAAGTTACATCGGTATCGTTTGAACCATCCTCATATTTATATATTAATATTAATCATTTTGAACGTATATCAACCAATTTGCTAAGAGAATGGAGGCTATTTCTAATTGTATAAGAATTGGAATAAAATATTTTAATTGGCTAGTAAAAGAACTTGCTGAATTATAAAAATTAAATTCAACATGTTTATAAGATATGCATATATTTTTAAGGTATGATAATAACTAATTTAAAAATATATTTTATAATAAGATCTTTAAATAGAGTATAAATTTATCTTTTAATAAATTCAAAACTTTAATTATATATAATTCAACATGTTTAATTTTTAAAAAGATAAATAAACATACAATTTTAATACATTATAAGAAATTTGATATAAAATTAAATATTTATTTATTTTTATTAGAATAACCTAGACCCTTTTAACTAAATAAATGTTAATAAAAGCATTGGTCTGACTTATTTCCCAAAAAGCAAACATGATTTGACCTAAGCTTATTGTAAGCTAGATGATATGCCTTTATCGAAAGAATATTTGACCTATTTTTACTTCTAAAATAAATTATTTCTATAAATTATATAAAACTATAAGATAAATTTTTTTTATTAAACCTGTTGAATAAACTATATTTATTTAACGCTTATCACTCAATTTTTTTAATTATTTTGTATTTTCACATTATAATTATTACACTTTTTTGAAACATAATTTTGGAAAAAGAAATACATAAATGTAGAAATATACAACTTATTTTATTTAGCTTAAACCAGAGTCAATTTTTTTTTTTTAAAGATTAATATGATATTTCCATCGTTAATTTCTTTAATGTTAAAATAATAGTTGACTAATAAAAATTACGTTTTATGAATATAGATTAATTCTTAATCGTTAATTTTGAAATATTGAGTTAATACATTTATAGAGAAAAAATATTATTTCTTTTTTAGTTAAATTTTGTTGGTTACTTATTTTATTTTATTATTATAAAAAGTAGCAGAAGAACTACAATAAAAATATTATGTAAATAAAATTATTAAATTTTAAATATATTTTATCCTTCTCTTAATTATATTTAATCCATAATATTGTGTGAGAATGGGTCCATCAAAGATTTTGTTCCATTTATAATCTTAAAAGTTTTGTTATGCACACACCTTTTTAATGAAGCCAATATATTGTGGCCCAATACAAATAATTTCATTAGGGAGTCCTTAATTAGACCCGACGTTAGTTCTCATGCAGTTGCTAATATCCATTATAGTGGAACATAAAAAATTGTAAGATTCACCTTTAGAGCGGTTGTAAGGATCATTCATATATTATTGTTTTTTACACCAATAATCAATCATATTTTTTAAAATTATTTATTTTATTATTATATTAAATAAGCAATTAACATGACACTATTAAAAGATATAATTGGTTATTAGTGTAAATTTTTTTTATACTGACAGTATATAGATGATTAATTAATTATATATATATATATAATCAAAGTTTTAGCCTTTTTTTTTATAGAAATTAAAGTCTTTGCTATTTAATTCCCAATTTTGCATTCTTTTCTTCTTATTATTCCAAAGTTATTAATACAAGTACCATAAAATAATTATATATATATATATATATATCAATCAAATAATATATAACTAAAACAAATAGTTCAGTATATGATATAAAGTGATAAGAAAAAAAATACTAATATATAGAATATTTTATATATAAAGGTCTCTATATCATCAAATATATCTATGAATTAATAAAATATACACTGGCAGTGTAAATTTTTTTTACACTAACAATTAATTATATTTTTTAATAGTGTCATATCAATTACTTATTTAATAAAATAATAATAAAATAAGCAACTTTAAAAAATATAATTGATTCTCGGTGTGCGGATGATTAACTCTATATCTATCTTGCACATGTGACAAATAAGTTTTTTCTCTTTCACTTTTGTGTCCCCTCATGTTTCCTTGTTTGGTAATTAATTAGTTCTCAAAGCATTGGAAAGCTGAAAACACGCAGTAAGAAAAGAAAACGCAAAGGAGAGAGAGAAAGAGAGAATTCTGAATTTCTGAGGATACAAACATTCTAGCAGGAAAACACTATGAAGCATATCGTGTTATAAAGTAGCTTTGTTTTTCCATCACAAAAGTGGGGTAATTGTTTTAAAGAAATTTCTGAAATACGTTATTTAAAAAAATCAAAATGACATGTTTCACAAACATGATTTTAAAAGTAGAAATGGTATTTTAAATTTTGCCTTCGATTTAAGAAAACAGAAATCATGTTTTGAAGTAATTTTTTTTTTTTTTAATTTTTAATTTTACATAAAAATAATTATTTTAACACAAAAATTAGAACACACAAGTCGTAATACAAAAGATGAGTGTCTCTTTAAAAAAAAAAAGTAAGTCATATTTTATAACACCACTTTACTTTTATTTCTAATAGAAGTCATATTTCAAAATACCACTTCCACTTTTAAATTGTGTTTCATTACTCATTTTTGAGATTTAAAAAAAATGAAAAAAAATCCATTTTAATAAATTTCCTTAAACTAAGGGGTCTGAATCCTAGCAATTGCCACCCTCTTAAAATGAATTTTGGTAAACCGATATTTGTTACACGTGATCTTGTATAGTCTTATAAGCTTATAAAAAATAGGGAGTTGTTACGGTACCCTTAAAGATCAAGAGTTTCAATACATTTTTCTATGTAAATTCATTAAAAATTTTAAAAAAATTAATTTAATTATAAAATGAATAATTTAAATTATATTTATAAAATAAAAAGTAAGATAAAATTATAGAGATTAAAATTACAATATTTTAATAATATTATAAAATATTAAAAAAAGAAAAAAATTAATAAATAGTAGAAATAAAAAATTATTAAAATTATAATATAGAAATTCAAAAATTTAAGACAAGAAGACAAAAAATATACTTAAAAAATTATTAAAATTAAAATATAGAAATTCAAAAATTTTAAGTGAAAAGATAAAAATATACTTAAAAAATTATTAAAATTAAACTATTTAAATATATAATAATATTATTACAAATAAATTAGAATATATAAAATAAAAATAAAATGACTAAATAATTTAAAAATTAAAAGAATAAAATATCATAAATATTATTTAAATAAATTATTAAAAATATAAAATATAAAAAACTGTATCGGTACCCTCTTAAATAAGATGGGTACCGTATAATTTCTCTAAAAAAATATATATATTCAAGTCTTTCAAACAACCTCTAATAATGTTTGTGTAGAAGAAAAGAGAGAAAATTTGTTTTGTTTGATCATTAAAACAAAGTAGAAAGAATAAAAAGAATTTTTTTTATAAAATAATCAAAATTTTCTCTTCTTCCACTTTTTTCTTAATTAAAATTCCAAACTTTTCACTTATTTTCTTTCTATTATTTCAAACAAGCTATAAAAGAACAAATATCGAGAGAAAACAAAGAAAATTAACAGGATCATAAAGCGCGATAATTTCAGTTAATGTGTTTCACAAGTTAAATTAATTCTCAATCCTTATAGAATATTTGTAGCTTGATCTATTTGAAAATGTTATAATAAATAACTTTACATTCTCAAATTGAATATAATAAAATTAAATCAAAATAAAGAAAAAAGAAAATGAAAACATTTACTTACAATAAACTATAAATTGGCAATAATAGTTCATAAAAGAAAAAATTACGGTAGTCTGATTGGAATTGAACTCATGAATCTTATAAATAAAAATAATAATGTAACTAAATAAAAGAAAAACTTCATTAAAAATAATATTTAAATAAAAAAGTCATTACTAAAACTGTGAAACGTTCCAAAAAACATTTTAAAAGATTAAAATATTAATTTAAATTATAAAATATTAAATTAAATAATTATTTTATAATAAATTTATTAAAAAATATTAATATTTTAATGTTTAGAGGGTAATTTGAAAGACGAGTATAAGGGTATATCATTACTTGTGTTGATAAATATTGATGACATCTTAAGGTTAAATTCAAGATTTTGTATATATTATTTTTAACTCTCACTGTTACTAAATCAATCTATGTATTACATGTTCATACATATATTACATGATTAAAAAATATATTTAAAAGCTAAGGAAAATGTCATTATTTTTTTAATAAAAAATATAAAAAGAAAGAAAAGAAAATAAAGAACACGTAAAATTTTGATGTAAATATTTAAATGCTTGTAGTATTAACTATCTCCACACGTAGAAATACTGAAACATGTTTAGTACGTAGAAGATGATAAATAGAAGAAAAAAGTAACATGATCCCATCGCATGGCATGCTCTTGTTCTGAAATTACACAAGCTTATTAAAGTCCTTCTTGGTTGTTTGACATATATCAAAACTCAAAAGTAACTCCACAAAGTTTCTCCACGTTGGTTCTCCTGAGAGGTAAATGATATTCTGGGCGGCGACAGAAGCATTCCCCCGGCCATGCCCACCAGCAAACTGGGCATGCTGAAAATGGCTTCCTCGTCCACGAAATCACTTTGAAGCCACGAACAAGTTGATGCACTGCACTGGCTAGCTTCACTTACTGATGAATTAATGTGATTGCGGTTAGCTTCAGTTTCAGCCTTTATCATTGCGGCTGCAGCGGAGGCGGCACTGCGGATGTCCGCAGGAGAGTTTGTTGCGGGGATTTGATACTTGTCCACGGAGTGAGGGAGGTTGAGGACAGCACCGTCGCCTTTCAGGGCCAAGGAGGCCACGTCGTAGGCGGCGGCCGCCCTCTC